GGGATATGCATTTACCTACAGGAAAAAGAATACTTCAAGCATGCTAAGGAAGACAGCAGCATGAGAGAAAGACTTCTTCATCTGCATCCTGTTAGTATTAGTATTGAGAAAACTAGTTAGTGTTAGTATTGAGAAAACAAATAATTTCAGTGGTCAGCTAATAGTAAAGTAAAGGAGTACCTGGTAGACTCAGGTAATTTAACAGATAACTGTAATTTTAGCATGTAACTCTGAAAGCATCAAAATAATTCAGTGGTACTAATACACCAAATCCTTGTAATGTCACAGTTTCTTAGCTACTATAGAAGGTAAACAATCAATGGGAATAACTTATGTCACTAGGTAATAACTGTACATGAAAATATAAACTGTTAACAGAAAAATCAGCTATACCAATCCCATTAATAGATCTATTTCTCAGAAGATTTAGTTTATCTCATAACCTTTAATAGATTCATATTTTTTTTTGCTTTTGAGATAAGGTCCAGGCTGGTTGGGAATTCATTCTATCTCTGAGTGCTGGAATTACAGGTGTGTACTATCACACCTGACTCTTCATACTGCCCTTATCAACTGAGCTCCAATGAGAGAAGTTTTCTGTATGCACATATTCTGTTACAGACAATTTTATGGAAAAGATTAATGAGGGAGAATTCAAATGGAAATAGAGCTCAATTAGAAAAGGGGATAATCTAAAACCTCAGACTCTGTGAACATGGATAATGGTGGCACTCAGCGTCTAGTTAACACATAATTTAAAATTGCATTAATCACATATGAGGAGAGAAACCTGTCCCCATGCCATCTCTTATGTCTTGGTATCTGGCTGGCCTGCAACTCGTAGATCCTCCTGTATCAGCCTCCCGCATGCTGGGATTAAAGGTATGTGCCATTAAACCTACTGAGCAAGTTTTAGTATCACCACCTTACATATACAGTGGACAGAAAAAATTTCCCCAAACATTTTTAGGGAGGGTCAAGCCAAGCTAGAATGTCCGAAGAGTTCTTTGGTCATGGTGGATCGCCATAAAGCATTCTATTCACTAATGCCCTACTAAGAAGAATTCTGTGACCTGCTTTCTTTTGTTCTGGATGGGGTAGGGAGAGGGGAGGTGGGACAAGACAGTTATCTTCTGGAGAATATACAGCTTTTCAGTGCACATATACACAGCACAGATTAACAGTCTATTCAAAATAAGAATTTTGGCTCTCAGAATAAATGGAAGGATCATCACATCTCAATAGGCTGCTACTTAGTCAGGAGAGAAAGGAGCAGACCTGATGGAGACTTGTAGTCTCCAGAGGCAGGTGAGGGGCACAGCAAGTCCATGAATGAGGTCACCTTCCATTTTCTTCAAGAGGACTATTGACATTCTGGCCTTGAACTCTGGATCTTCCTGTCTCTACCTCTAAGCATTGGAGATTGCAAGATTCTGTCACCAAACTTGGTTACAGTCTACGCTTTAGAGCCAAGTGTTCATGTGTATTTAATCACCGACATGAAGCCATCCAGCAGATGCTATATAATTTGATGAGAGTCAGCATGTGGCTTGCCTGTCAATGAGTCAGCTTGGTCACTGATAGGGTTCAAAGCAAAGACAGACATTGGCGTAAAAAAACAATTATTTTTCTTTTGATAAAATATGGAACACAGAACTTTTGCATGAGTACTACTATTACATGAGCCATAATGTTTGCAAATCATGAAGAAGCAGTGTTCTTTAATAAAACACTTACATGAAAAAACTCCAACCTTATTATTATATATAATTGCTTAAGACACTGAAGTCCAATAAAAGAACATATTTAGAGTGTGGTCCCAATCTCTCTTTAACAGATACTGAGGGCCCAAACCAGGATCCTAAATGTGCCAGGCAAACCATCTGAGTTCTAGCTCCAGTACCCAAAGAATTCTTTAAACTGAATTTCACCTGAATGAACTTTGGTCAAATTTTCTAGATTATGTGTGTGTGCATGGTGTGTGTGTAGAAAAGGACTTGAATTTCAAGAAAAAACATTTTTAAAATACATTATAAATAGTAGAAAGAATTTTGGCTTCATCTGCTCCCAAGAGAAGAAATATAAATTCTGGCTCTATTACTTACCCGTCAAGGAACTTGGGCATCCTACTTAATTCCTGGTGCTTCAAATCCATGGGGACAACACTAGCACTTATGGTTAACCACATGACATCAATTAACATACAAAAGCTGTCCCTTTGGGTCTAGGATGTATTCAGTAAATGAGCAGGAATACTACTGTTGTTGCTGTCATCATGCAGTACAAATAGCTTTTCATAAATGGTTATTAATCTTCACTACATCTGGAATTCTAAAGTGTTATTTTTACTCTCATCTTTTTTAGACAGGGGGAAATGAATTAAAAAATGAATATTCTGGTCTTCTTCATAGCCTAGAGACTAACACATAGCAATTCCCCCCACTGTCAGCCACTGTCTTGTTAATCTATATTGTCTCCTTTTCTTTTGTAAGCATATGGGTTCTAAGCAGTAACTGTATTTACAAGCTAGTCTCAGTTCAGCAGCTGTTTTTTTCTACATGGACACAGCTGCATAGAGAACTCAGGCAACTAAGTATACCTCAGGGTCTGAACTCATTTCCATTAGTACAAACAGGAAGGGTCAAACAGATGACATTCCTTGGCAGGCAACAAAGAGCTGGATGATATCAGAGAGCTAATGAGAGAATAGTTCCTAATAAGAAGCACTGGCTAGAGTTATGCGTTAAGTATTTGTCTCCTGTGGGTCAAAATGACAGTGCTTTAGAAGCTTCTCTCACCCTGAAATATGGTAAAAGATTTTCTCTTGGGAGATTGTCTAATAACAACATCCTGTTTTTCTTGCTGTGATGAAACAGCAGAGGTAGGTATCAGAAGCAGAGCTCTGAGGACACAGGGCTTCAAGTGGAATCGCAGCACAAGGTATCACTGGGGCAGGAGGCAGTAGTGGGGGAAGCTGATGAGGATCTGAGGCCAGCATGCCAAGGTGTCTATATCCTGGTGACTCTCACACACAGGCTGCATTAAGATTCTCATGCCAGGGCTGTTGGACCCAAGAATGTGACATAACTGGGATACAACTGGTAACCTCCTGTCGGAAAGTTCCTTTAGGAGCTTAGCTGAAGAGCTAAGCCAAGCAAAGAATGCTGAAGTGAGGATGATAAACCATGAGAGTCTTCAGGTGGTTGAGAGCTGAGTGCTTCTGGGACTTTGTGTGGACATCCTTAGCTAATAGTTCTCAGAAAAGCTAAGGTCTGATGCAGCTGGGCAATCATCACATGGCCCTGAGAACCAGATGGACAGCTCTCCCCATATGGAGGCTCCTCCACTGTTCTTGGGGAGAATGGCAAGATGAAGCTGGTGCATATCAAAGCCCAGGGAGGCATGATTGATTTCTAATATCTGGACTTGCCAAATATGCCAATGCTAAATGCAAACATTTCAATTTAGCTCCTGAGCTTCTAGAGTTAGGTTTGTTGCACACAGAGGAACATGGGCTTTGTTACTGGTCTCAGGCAACGCAGGAGCCCAAATACAAACCCCAAATGAATATTTACCAGAAAGTATTGCCAGTACATGTTCATGATCAGTGACAATGAGAAATACAGTTCACTATATTTCCACAGGTGGGTTCCCTGAGGGGCTTGACAACATTCAGCCAAATTCATTCATTCTATGTTGGGAGCCATGCAGCCTAGTCACTGATCATCATAGGACTACCTATTCAACGGGTTTCCTCAGGACAAAGCACCTGTGGAAACAGACTCTCACTTGGCAAGGACCAGGTCCACGTAACAGTGTAGGAATTTACAAAATTTGTGTAGCTTGAAGGCTCTTTCTCTCTCATTATATTGTTAATTCTTTGGGCATTTTTTTTTTAGCTTTGTCAGCCACACATGCAACAGCTGCAATTTTTCCTGGAAATTCTGTTCTTTTTTGAATATTTTCCCCTAACTTTCAGCAGGGGCTAATGTTTCTTAAATCTCTTATCTGTAATTACTAATCACAACTCCTAATCCTAGGAACTTCTCTGACTCAATAGAGACAGTTATATGGAAACAACACTTGGAACATTAACCACATCTCACAGTTCTGGAAAGGAGAGTAAGGAATGCATACACAGGATAGTGAAAAGACCTCAGGAATACACATAGTGCCAACTATTGAGAGAAAGTTTCCTGGACACCAAGCATATAGAATCCATGATAAGATCTAGTATGATCTAACAGGGAAAAAGCAATGTAAAACATGGGGTGGAGAGATCCATCTTTGCCATACACAGGAGTTTATACTGGTGGAAGAAATATGGTATAGTGAGATGGGAAAGAGTGGTTCTCAGAGTCTGCCTTTTACAGACAGATTGAGACATGGGACCCTCTTATAAAAAAAAAAGGTGGGGGAGGGACTATACAAAAGCCTCATGAAAGCACTGTTTGGGTTTGAACACGGTTGTCCTTAAAGCATTGTACCCATGTCTATTGCTTTTCAACTTTGTAACTGCAGGCAGCTGCCAGCTGACATAAGTGCTGCAAGAGCAGGATGCATCTTGGCTGACATTTAGTTAAGCCTGCAAAAATGCTGAACTCTAAAGATTTTGCAGGGGGTGGGAAAGTGTATTTGGGAAGCAAAATGGGAACAACAGGGACTTTCATAATTATTTTGATGTATTTCTTAAAATATGTATTTCTTAAAAGTAAAAAAAATAGGAGACAATAATAAAGTTGTTCATGTAACCCTGGTAAGAAAAACTGTTTAAAAACATCGCTTAAGTATAAATAAAGATGGCTTGGGCTATTCGGGGCCACTTGAGTGCAATCCATTTGGTGGTCAGAATTTTTCCTTGTGTCAACACCCCTTCCCTGCTTCAGGACCTGAACTCAAGCTGAAGATGAAACCCGGCAATTCTATACTGTACAGACCACCCAAAAGAGGCATGGCCTCCCTCTAACTCAGTCCTGAAACAGACTGACGCCCACACTTACATGTCCTCCACTGTGATGTCTTTCAGGATCTGGCAGTAGTCTACATTCCACACAGCCTGGTCATCCCACACCTTAGAGGCCAGCAGGATTGCCCCCAGAACAATGCGCTTCCAGTTGGCTGGACAGATGTCAATCTCTGCATACGTCAAGAGCCTTTCAAGGTATACCTGAGGAGACACAAGGAAGACAGTGCTAAATGCCTTCAGTTTTCTCCTCCACCCAAGGTTAAACTTAGCATAAATTCCATCACAACAGTCCTTTAGTAGGGGTTACCTTGACATACTTATTTCTTTATACGAATATCTGCTGTAATCACTTTTAAAAAGTCTTGAAAACTTCATTTATATGAGCAAGCAAATCAAGGATAATGACAAAAACACATCAAATATACAGAAAAAAATCATTGAACATACTTAAAATATGATCTAAGATATTTGTTGTTTTTTACCTATGCTTTTTTCATTTACTGAAAATATTTTTTCTCACAAACTATATTCTTATGACAGTTCCCCCTCCCCCTACTCTTACCAGTTTCTCTCCACCTCCCTTTACATCCAGATCCCCTTCCTTTCTGTATCTCACTAAAAAACAAGCAGGCTTCTAAGGGCTACTAATATAAAATATAGTAAGATAGAACAAAAACTAGCACGTTGGAATTGAACAAAACAAACGAGAAGGAAAAGAGCCCAAGAAAAGGCATAAGAAACAGAGACCCCTCATTTGCATACACAGGAGTCCCATAAAACACTAAACTAAATGCCGTAACTGTACCAGGAATACTCATTTTTAAAAGGCTGAAACGCCTAGTGAGTTTTACTAGAATTAGGCTGGAGGTCACATGTTGAAAACGTAGCTGATCTTGTAAATACTGAGGTTGGCATAAATCCCAAAAGCTACAGGTCAAAATATATTCTGACACAAAGAATGTAAAGGATACAAACCTATGCATTTTTTTTATTTTACCTATAAGGTACTTTACACTTGATCTTAGCTCATTTTCAAGAAGTCATTGACCTATAGAATACTTTTATTTTAAAAACCTTTTCTGTGCATGTATGCTGTGTGAAGACATGTTGTGCTACACAGGTGGAGGGCAGAGCACAGCTTTATGGAGTTAGTTCTCTCTGTTTCCTTTTTGTGGGCTCTGAGGATGTGACTTGGGGTCTCCAGGCTTGTGCAGCAAGTGCCTCTATCTACTGAGTCACCTTGCTAGCCATTATAAGGTTTTGTTTGTTTGTTTGTAAAGACTGGATAGTACAGTTATATCTGATGGGAATGTTAAAAGTCATAGAGCCAGCACAGCTGCTTGACAAAGACCTAACAAAGCTGAGTTGCATGATGGTCACTGTGCCACTTTTGGTTTTGATCTTCACCTGTTGCATACTTGGGAGACTTTTAATATTTGTACAATTTGGGGATATTGGATTGATGGAAATTTTCTTATGAATCATTATGCTTTCTCCCAGGGTTCTGTTTCTAAGCTTCCCCCGGAAAGTTCTGAACATACCACCCCTCCCACCTTTAGGTAGATATGTTTATCTACCTGAAGGTCTTCCTTATGTCTTGGAGACTGTAACACATGTAAAGAAGCCTGGTCTATTTATGAGGCTGTGAGTTATTCTTGAAACATCTGTCCCTGTACTTATTCAGGAACAAGATAATCAAAACAAAGTAAACTTTAATAGATCAACAAGATTCGTTGGGCTAGGGGAGTTGGCCACAGATCAGATTGCAAGCCTCTTTACATTATACACAGGCAATTATGTGGCATTATAGCAACAAAGCTAGATTAGCTGGTTACCTCTGCCCTACACAGAGATTTATATTGATGGACAAATAATGATGTTAAAAAGATCACAAAAGAATGAGATATCAGGACCTCCATTTCTTAGAAAGGTTAGCTCACTCTGAAGGAGAAAGAAATGAAACTCAGATACTCAATACTCTTAAGAACTTGCTTTCTAAAACCTATAACGATGAAAAAAATATATATTATTTGTATAGTCTTAAATATTTACAAAATGTAAAAATGCCACATGTGGAAAAGAATATGCTAAACACATAAAGTGCAGCTCACATTCTATTTAAACAAGCTTCCTCAGTAGGTCAGAGATTTTCTTAAGAAAGGAAAGCCTACACCAGATATGGCACTGGGGGCCCTCGGGAAAGGCTCAATTTTGGCAAGTTGTTTAGAAATGGGACAATAGCAAGGGTTGGCATAAGTATTAGATGAAGTGAAAAGACAAGACACCGGGCAGAACCAGAGAGACTAAATGACACCAGACCACAGGGGAATGAGGGTGCTCACCCACCAGACATAAGTACAGATTCCTCTGAAGGCACTATGCTACCCCTGAGCCTCCAGGTGGCAGCACTGACTGATCAGGGTCAGAGAGGAGCTTGGACAATACCACGAGCTCGAAGTAGCCATTGAAGGAAAATAATTAATTAGGCTAAAGAGAGGGACAGTGTTTGATATGGGGACAATCTCGAAATAGTCCAGACACTTGAGGAAATGACCTCAAAGCCACCAAAGGTAGTCACCTTGGAAGTACCCAAGGCTTCTGGACTGTGCAGTTGGTTATATACAGTCCTTAGAAACAGCAGGTAGCAGAGCGAAGAGGCTATGTAAGGTGCCTGCAGATCTGCCTGCATGCTCTGTGTCTAGGATGTATCAAAAGAAGTCCCTACATTGTGAGCATGCACAGCAAAGAAGACAGGATTGAGCTATAACGCCCAGTCTGTGTAGGCAGAACAGACCCAAGGCCTGAGGTGAAAATCAGCAGAGGTGGAAACTGGGGACAGGATGACGGGGCAGAGGCTCCTTCTCTTTGCTGGGCTCCCTCCTGTATGAGGAATGCAAGGCTATTCCACATACTTTTTAAGTACCCAGGAAGAAAATGGAATTTCTGCCCCTCATAGTGACCAACAAAACAAAAGTAAGGAGCGCGGGGTGAGTGACAGGGAAACAGTGAGTAAAAGCTGGGGATGGGGTGGTGGGGTGGAGGTGAGGGTGGAGAAGGGAAAAGAGAAACTTCCTTCTGGAAGTGCAGCCTTGGCTCCTTAAGGAAGTCAAAAGTCAGTGAGGCAGAGTTCCTGGGCCGGCTTCTCTAGCAGCATTCCTCTCCTGCCCCCGAGACAGACACAGGGAAATTGTTCTACCCAAAGGTGTTGGGAAATCAAGTGTTCCCCACTGCTCCTCCCACGGATGCAAGCTTTGCCAGGTATGTGCAGAATAAGACAGAATAGGATCCCTGTTCTGGTTTTAGTGATTCACTAATAGCAATTTTTAAGGAGATGTAGATTTTTATGACTGTCTGATACCACATGTTACTCAGGATGAACTGGGTCACATACACTGAATATAAAGGAAAAAAAAACTGTTAAGGAAAGAAGCATCTTTCTGCTTCTTTGAGGCAGAGTTTCACTGTGTGGCCCATGATGGCCTGGAATACACCACACAGCCTAGGTTAAACTTGTAATCCTATGTTTCCAGTTCCCCAGTGCTGGGACTATAGGCACAGTTGTATGCCATCACACCCAGCCATGAGCTAACATTTCAGATTCCTAATCGTTAGCAAATTGTGATAAGAGACCCTGGACTTACTGAAGTAGTAAAAATTTCTGACATATCTCAGGGGACTTTGTCTTTTTCCTCTTTCTTCCTACAGTAAACCCTAAGCTCCTGATGACAAAGGTTCTAAGGCACACTGTGTGGCACTGCACAAGGCAGAGTGATGCTACCAAAGTGTCTGTCTTTAACACACCCTCAATCCCACATGAGACAACCATGGATAACATCCATTTAGAACTGTGAGCAACCTCAGTGGGACAGGAATACTACAGGAACTTTAGTGAAAGAAGATTCAGCAGGAAGTTAATAGGGAAACTGATCATATTCCATGGCATTCAGAAAAGTGATGGGGGAAGTCCTTCTGTGTATATGTTGTCTTATTGGTTGATAAATAAAGCACTGTTGGCCATTAGGGAAGCAAGATGGGTGGGACTAGGAGTCGACGAAGATTCTGGGAAATGTAGTCAAGAGTTGGGGGTCGCCATGTGATCCCAGGAGAAGAGGACAAGTCAGGAAGGCATCCTCAGAAAGATAAGTTCTTATAAAAATATATATTAGTAATTATGGTTTAATAATTAAGCCAGAGCTAGCCATTAAGAAACCATAGCAAATGGGTAATATAGTGTCTCATGAGTTATTTAGGGGCTAAAGCAGCAATGGGACCCAGGCGGGAATCCCACAACAGGAAGGAACTGAACCAAAGGAGGAAGCTAAAGCAATGAGGTTTTGAGGGGGCAGCTCAAAATAACAAATAACTCATTCTTCTGAGTTACCCATAAGAATCAAGAGGCCATCCCGGGAAGACTAGGAAATCAGGAGGCAGAGCAAACACTGCTCTACACGAATCTTTGTGGCTGGCTCTGAGGATATGTAGCAAGGATGAGAGTCTGCTGTTGATTATACCAATTAAAGTTACTCAAAAGTTCAGAAACAACTTTTGGATATCCCAATTTTAAATGGCATTTATCATACTGGAACATCAGCAGTGAGGTAGTATTTTAGATCATGATTTTTATTTGTATAAAAATAAACAACTGGGTGGACCAGGATCATTTTCAGCTAGACATCATGGGAACTTGAGGTTGTAGTTTCTCAAAATTTGACAACAGACTCTTGCCATTTCCACAAGATTAGAAGTCATGTAAAACTATACTGAGAGCAGAAAACAGAAACTGGAAATCCCTAAGTTTCTTAGTTCATAGAAACTTGAGGCAGGATGCAACACTCTTCTACATCATGCTATATGTTTCTGTGCACTGCAGTTGGGTTAATTTCTGCAATGAAATGATTTCCATTGGTTCAGGCAGAAAGGTGTCTATGAAATTTAATTTTGAGTTAAAAACCTTAGTTGATGTATACTAATAACTCATTAGGTATTGTCTGACAAGAATCAACATGTTTTATGGCATGTTACCGATATCCTTTGAGGGCTTACTGAAGGAAGGAGACATTGCTATAACATCATCATAACATGTTACATGTCAGTAAAGCAGCAATTCCACCAAGGAGATAATTACAGTGAGCAATTCTTACTAGCATGTAATTTAGCAGAATTTGTCAGTAGCACCATATTTGGGGGTAAATTCCCACTAGTATATTTTACTATGCTAACTAAAGTAACATTCTATTGATTTTCATGAACAGTATCTCCAGACAGTGCGAATGATACTGTCCAGTTAAAACCTCCTATTACAGTCATGTGAAAGACTGTCCTAATCCATCTCTAGACAACACAGGTTAGTGCCAACTGTGGAGTCATATAGCACTACTCTGCCAACTGCAGACAAAAGTTTTCAAGGGCATTTTAGGGTGGAAGAATGAATGAAAACTCAAGGACATACATAAACAAAGCTTCAACAATGATGGAATTATTCTAATCTGAATTTTAAAAGTTATGTGAGGTCAGGCATATGGTTGGAATTCAAATGACACAATTTCTTTTTGGGTGCTAATCCTGCAGTCTTATAACTATTTGGTTTAACCAATCAAAGATGGCTTCAATAGGACCTAGGTCAAGAGTACAACATCAGCCAGCAACAAAAGTTGACAGTTTCATTCCAATCCCAAGTATATCCTAATTCAGATGTCATCATGTTTATTTTAGGGCATGAGAATTATTATCCAAACTCTCAGCACTCATCAGTTAGATTCTAACTTGTGACCAAGAAACAAATTATTTGAAGGGAATAATTACAGCTTCCTGCTTATAAAATTTCTATAACTTTTCCACTTGGATTTTAGTACTTGAGGCTATAGATTTTTTTCAGCAGACACTCAGGATTGCAGCTCAGTGACAGAGTTAATGTGTTAGCATGAATAAGACTTAGATTTGGTCCCTAGCACCATATCATCCCCACTTCCTGCCTCTCTCTCCCGCTTCTTCATTCCTCTCCACCCCGTATTTCCTAGGATTTTTGTGTTGCCTAGTCTGGCCTTGAGCTCCAAGGGCACAAGTGATCCTCCTGTCTCGGCCCTCCCAAGTATCTAGGACTACAGGTGCATCCACCATATCCAGATAAGTTTGTTTTTTTAAAGCCTTTTAGCTCATGGCACTGTATTACAGAACAAGTCTGAAAGTCTCTGCGGGTTCCCTACAGTGAAAACGGAAACATTGCCTTTATTTAAAGTCTTGGAGCTTCTACTGAAAGTTGAATGAACAAGCATTAACTAAGATTCCCACTTAGAAGTTTGGTTCCATCTGCTCTTTCAACACTATTTCTATGTAGCAAAGAATGGCTACTAAGAAAACCTCACACATGATGAGAGTACAGGCACACATACAAACTTCTTTTGTATTTATAATCAGAACACTATTTTTTACTCCTTAAGGGCACATCTTTGTAGTGCTGTAGAATGTCCCAATAATCTATGAGGTATCAGGAATAAATGAAACAACAGGAGAGAGGCATATACAATAGTGAACACAAGCAGGTTCAAGGTTTGTCCTTAGCAGGGGCCTGCTACCAAGGCTGGCCCTCAGCTGGCATGAGGGGACTCACATGAGTCTTAAAATGCAGGCTTCCATATCAGCAAAATGCCCTGCAGACACATTTATGCAAAACAAATCAGAGCTAGTCAGTTATACTTCATATATCTAGGCCATGGTTGGACGTAATTCACTGACATTTCACCTCATCCTGGATGTATGACTGACTACATTCTGTTGTCATTAAGATGATAGTGGGGAGTGAACAAACAGAAACTAGACATTTTTAGAGGATGTTCTTGGTCCACACTACCTTGCATCAGCCTGAAAATGTCAGTACTGATAGCACTGACTAGCTTTAGTGGGACTTCATACATGACTTTGGAACACTCCACACTCCCAGGACATTCATCCTCTAGTCTCACAGAAGACACAGAAACTTCCACAAGTTTACCCAGGGTCACTTGATAAGAGTTTGCTGTTGACACTCACCAGGGTGACAATGGCACATTCAGCTGTCAGCTGAGCAGCACTGAAGAGTGTTCGAACGAACCGGTAAATCTGCTTCTGCTCTGGGTTGTGTTTGTCATAATCTGGTGGCACTTCGGATTTCTAGAAAAAAAAGAAGTTTTCTGATGACTGCCACTGAACAGGAGCAAGAGACAGCTAACTAAATCATCTCATGAAACACAAGGAGGCGATTACCGAAAGAGGGTGGAGGTTTTCATCAAAAATATCTAAGAGCATCCTTCCATCTGGGTCCCTGGTGAGGAAAGCAATAGAAATCAGAGTTTACTTTCTGAAGAATAAATGCCATTCAAAAAGAAAAAAAGCACATTTCAGTTCAACAGCTAGAAACTGCTAAATTTAAGATAAACTGATGGTTATTAATAAATAATGAGTCATTTTTCTCAGGTACAGCATTTAATCATTTTTTGTTGTTATTGAATCCACAGACACAAAAACCTCTAGGTGAATTAAGCAAAAATGTTTGCTTTAACTAACCTTCTGCTTTTTTTTTTAAATCTCATGTATTCCACTGATTTTACTATTTTCCACCTTCCCTCTCATGAACCCTTACCTAATCTAAAATGATTTAATTCTAACCCTTTTTTCTGACTGTTAATCATATGGTGGTTGATATGGAGCAGTCTGGGGGCAAAGGGGCATGAAGCAGGGAGCACAGATCAGTCTTAAATGGTCACAACACACACTGATAATTCCAGAAACTAAGGAATTGAATTTGAGGCATTTTCAGCAGCACTTACCTGTACATAATCATGTGACTGAACTATAGCTTTTGTTCTGAACCCTATATGCACACTGTACCTTGCAGCAACACTGCCTGAAACACCATGCTGGGACTTGAGACTACTGGATTTCATGAACTGCAATATTTTTACTGTACATACAAAGGTATCTGACCTTATAGAAGCATACAGGCTTAAATATATATATGCATTTTAGTATTTTTCTACTGTCATTACCCAGCATGGAAGCATAAAAAAACGAGCATCTCTGGATTATAGTGTCTTAGAATATCTTATCTTAGAAATGCAATTTTTGAGTTGTTGACTTGAATTTCATAAACTCAGTAACTCTGGTATGGGAAAGAATACAATTTCCAGCAATTTCTGAAATGGCCCTAAACATACTTCTACCGTTTTGGGTCTATATGTGAAGCAGCATCCTCTTTATAAAAAATTACAAAAGTAGCAGTAAATCCAGAAAAACACTCAAAAGTCCCTGTATCCTAGAGTATAAATATTCAGCTAAGATTTCTTCATGTAAAATTAAACAAGTACATCCATCTTACAAGTTTGCAGTTTTGGTTTCCCTTTTAATAAATGGCAAAACTATGTCTTACACTGTAGTAAAGTTCTGAAATCAGCATATGTATAGTTTGTTTTATAAGCCAGAAGGGCCGTGAGTGGAACAATGTTTAGAAGAACTAGATCTTAGAGTACACAAGGCTGCCAGCCATGGGGTTACATGTAGCAAATAGGGTTGTAGCCTCTGGCACACATAGTACCTTAGGATGTTGACTTCAGGTGTACAGTATTTTGGGCTGCTAGCCTCAGGTTCATACACTGCTTTGGGTTACTGGTATGTGGTTCACACAGCACTTTGGATCACAAGTTTTCAGTCCTATTTTGTTTTTCTATTGCAGTGATACGACACTAAAAGTACTTTGTAGAGAAATGGGACCTTTGCCTTACAGGTCCTGATCACAGTTGATCACTGAGTGAAGCTGAGGCAGAAATTCAAGGCAGGGCTATGGAGGCAGAGACCATGGAGGAATGCTGCTACTGGCTTGCTCTTAGTGGCTTGCCTATTTTGATTTTTTTTTTTTAACCTAGGACTACCAGGAATGGAAATGTCTACAGCCAGATGGGCCCTCCCACACCAACCCTCAATCAAGAAAATACCCCCATAGACCTGCCTATAGGTAATCTGATAGAGGCATTTTTTTTTCAATTGAGGTTCTGTCTTAGCAAATGACTCTAGCTTATGTCAAATTGAAAAAAAACCACTCTCTGTGCCTTAATTTCATTATCTGTATAATGTAAATGATAAAAGTAACACTTCTCATATCTGCTATTTAACTACAAATTCATGAAAGACTAACAAGAGAAATCAGAGCAAGCAGTTAATAAAGGTGCTTGTTATTAACATCTATAGCAAAACCAACCTTGGAATGTATTTCACTGGCAGAGGGCAGGCTTAACATTCACAGAACTCTTGGCTCAATTCTTAGCCCCCAAACAAGAGCCAACAATCTCTTCAAGATGCTTATGGAAAGTTGGTTAAAAAGCACATGTGAGTCTCACTGCTGGTCTAACATGTAAGCCCAGTGTTTCCAAGTTTGAACTTGTACCACAGAAAGGATAGGGCAGAATCTGCACTGCTCCTGTTAGCCAGGCTCAAATGCCAGAGCTGCACTACTTGCCTTCATCTAAAACTCTCAGAAGCCACAATGCACATCAATCACAATCCCAGCACAGGAAAACCGTGGCAGTACACACCTTACAGGTGTTTGCTTTGCACAGCTACGTTTCTCTAATACTGCTCATCCATGTTGTACTCAATGGCCCCACAACCCTCTCCTCATGTGTGAACAGCCTGAGTAATTCTGAGGTCTGTCTTGCTGTTTGGTGGCCCTTCGAGTCCCAAAACTAGTTTTGCACTTAATATTACGTCTATAGACACACATTAATTACTGAAATGTGACTGGGTAATGGTCTTTGTGCCTATGAAAATTAAGAGGGTGCTTTGAAAAAGCCCAATAAAAGGAAATAACTGAAAAGAAGTTTGGTATATTTTATGGTAAAAACCTGAAATAATTTATACTTTGTGCTCTGCACAGGCCTTTCAGATTCCTCACTACTGGGGAAAACATTTTCGGGAAGGACAAGTTACAGATATGGTTTAATGCCCCAGACCTGAAGCAGAAGTCTTGGGCACTAAATTAAATTAGCAAATAAATGAATTACTACATTTTTCTTCCTTTAAATGTTTTTAATCATTTTTAATTATGCCTGGGTGTCTCTGTGTTTATGTACTTGTGAGTCCAGAGACTATGCAGAGGTAAAAGGCATCATATGCACTTGGAGTTGGAGTTTGTGAGCTAGGAGGTTGTGAACTGCCCAATGTGGGTACTGGGAACCAAAAAGCTCTTCTGCAAGAGGACTGAAAACTTTTGACTACTGAATTTTCTCTCCAGGACCTATTTCCATCTCTTTTTTAAAATGTATGAATGAGTGTATCTGTGTGTGAGAGTATGCCCACATGTGGAATTGCCCTATGGAGCCAGAAGAGGTCATCATATCTTTTGGAACCAGCAATAATTGGCCTTTTCAAGCTGTACAATAGGAGTGCTAAGAGCCAGACTCCAGTGTTCATGACTGGGCAGCAAGAACAACTCTTCAATTGCTAGCTCACCTTTTATATGCACCTTAAATACTTCATTTTAAAAAATTTGAGGAATATTTAAAAAATCCAGTTTTACTGATTTTTCAACTAGAACAACTGCAAGATACACTTTTATTAAAGAGAAACTCTATCATGTTTTGTCAAACTGCATTTCCAACTGAACTCAAACTAAACCTAACATTTTATAAAACACAGAGTGCTTAGTTAAGTTATACAGAAAATAACCACTGAAGAGTAATCTGAGCTTTCTTCAGAAGTCTGCTGCCACTACAATCACCATATGTAGTGCTCCTGGTTCAGAAGTAGTCTTGCTCTTCCCTGGCACTCTGGTGCATCGACCTTTACAAGGTCTATCAAAACATGAGTTAACAATATAAATTCAAGGCTAAAGAACAGGAAAAACAAAGCAAGACAACATGTGCTACTTTTAGCACAGAATTAAGTGTCTACATACCTGTTTTTGATGTGGTAATATATCGCAAGAGCTACACTGTAAAATAAAACACAGGAATTCAGTGTTCCATTAACACACTCATCATTTCATGTAATAGGCATAACCAGGCAGCGATCACCAAATTTAATTAAAAGCCACACAGTCCATCTGTAAAGTCCCATTTCATTCACAGTGTGTTGATCAGAACATACTCCACATTAAGTCACTCTGGTAATTACTCCCAGGTATTGTGAGATTATTTTGGAAACAATAGGATGACAATGGGAAGTTATAGCTTTTCTATCAGATTTTTAGCTTTCCTCACTTTTAAAATTCAGGTACTACATAAAACTGCGGCAAATTAAACCTATTTAAAAATCTCCAATTCACTGCCAATGAGTTAGCAAATTATTAATACATATTAACTATATATTTGTGTGTGTGTATGAGTAGCACAAACAGTGGTTGCTATTCCTCTCACACACCTTATTGGCAACCTATGCACCACAGCGACTCATTTTCTGAAGTGGTGGTGTAACTTCACCTAGAGCAATGTCTTAAAACTGTTTAAGCTGCCAGGCGGTGGTGGCGCATGCTTTTAATCCCAGCACTTGGGAGGCAGAGGCAGGCGGATCTCTGTGAGTTCGAGGCAGGGCTGGACCGACAGCCTCCAAAACAATACAGAGAATATAAAATATAAAATACAATATATTCAACACAGAAATTTTGGAAAATAGAAAAAGCACAAAGAAAAATATAAGTTGAGATGTAGTTCAGTGGCAGAGTGTGTGGCTAGCATGTGTGGTCCTGTGTACTGGGGGAAACAACTTTAAAACAAAGTTGTCTTTTAGCAAGAATGGTGATGAACACCTGTAATCCCATCGCTTGGGAGCAGGAGAATGGAGAGTTTGAGGCCAATAGGGGTACAAAGACTTTGTCTCAAAACAAAAGAAAAACAATCCATTTGCCCCCAAATAACTATCAGTTTGAGCTACACAGTTACTATTCCTACTTATATATGTGTGAACAAAGAGACTGGCATCCTATGCTTCCATAGCCATGCCAATGCTTTTCTTACCTTGGGAAATATTCCTAATGAACATGACTTTAAAAGCTGCTAGTTAGTTTTCCACGCAATAGAAACAGAAGGGTCTTTGCCAAACTCTTTTTACAAGGCTTTAATAACCTTGATGCCCAAGTCAAACAAAGACACAACTAAGAAAGAGAACTTCAGACCAATATCCCTCATGAACATTGATGCAAAAATACTCAATAAAATACTGGCAAATCAGAACACATCAGAAAACTCATCCACCATGATCAAGAAGGTTTCATCCCAGGGATGCAGGAATGTTTCAACATACAAAAATCCATCAGTGTAATCCACCATAAAACAAGCTGACAAAAAAAAAAAATCACATGATCATCTCACTGGATGCTGAAAAAGCCTTTGAAAAATCCAACACCCCTTCATGATAAAGGTCTTGGAGAGATCCGGAATAACAGGAACATACCTAAACATAATAAAAGCCATATACAGCAAACCAACAGCCAACATCAAACTATTTAGACAGAAACTCAACGCAATTCCTCTAAAATCAGGAACAAGACAAGGCTGTCTGCTCTCTCCATACATCTTCAATATTGTACTAGAAGTTCTAGCTAGAGCAATAAGACAACAAAAGGAGATCAAGGGGATACAAATTGGAAAGGAAGACGTCAAACTTTCATTATTTGCAGATGATATGATATTTTACATAAGTGACCCAAAAAACTCTATCAGGGAACTCCTACAGCTGATAAATACCTTCAGCAATGTGGCAGGATACAAGATCAACTCAGGAAAATCAGTAGCCCTACTATATACAGATGAAAAAAGGGCTGAGAAAGAAATCAGAGAAACATCACCCTTTACAATTGCTACAAACAACATAAAATACCTTGGGGTAACACTAACCAAACAAGTGAAAGACCTATATAGCAAGAACTTTGAGTCTTTAAAGAAAAAAATTAAAGAAGACACCAGAAAATGGAAAGATCTCCCATGATCTTGGATAGGTAAGATCAACATAGTAAAAATGGCAATCTTGCCAAAAGCAATCTACAGATTCAATGCAATCCCCATTAAAATCCCAGCAAAATTCCTCACAGACCTTGAAAGAACAATTCTCAACTTCATATGGAAAAACAATAGACCCAGGATAACCAAAACAACTCTGTTCAACAAAGCAACATCTGGGGGCATCAGCATCCTTTACTTCAAGTTCTATAACACCTGATCTTTGATAAAGAAGCTAAAATTATACAATAGAAAAAAAGAAAGCATCTTCAACAAATGGTGCTGGCATAACTGGATGCTGGTATGTAGAGGACTGCAGATAGATCCATGTCTATCGTCATGCACAAAACTTAAGTCCATATGGATCAAAGACCTCAACATAAATCCAGCCACACTGAACCTCTTAGAAGAGAAAGTGGGATGTACCCTTGAACAAATTGGTATAGGAGACCGCTTCCTGAACATAAAACTCCAGTAGCACAGACAATGAGATCGACAATTAACAAATGGGACCTCCTGAAACTGAGATGCTTCTGTAAAGCAAAGGACACAGTCAACAAGACAAAAAGGCAGCCCACAGAATGGGAAAAGATATTCACTAACCCCACATCTGACAGAGGGCTGATCTCCAAAATTTGTATGGAACTCAAGAAGCAAGTCTCCAAAACAACAAAGAATCCAATTAAAAAGTGGAGGACTGAACTAAATAGAGAATTCTCAATAGAGTCTAAAATGGCTGAGAGACACTTAAGAAAAGTGCTTAACACCCCTAGCTATCAGGGAAACCCAAATCAAAGCAACTCTGAGATACCATCTTAATCCTGTCAGAATGGCTAAAATAAAAAACATCAAAGACAGTTTATGCTGGAGAGGATGTGGAGAAAGGGGAACACTCCTCCACTGCTGGTGGGAGTGCCAACTCATACAGACACTTTGGAAATCAGGAAAATGGGAATCAGTCTACCAGAAGACCCAGCAATTCCACCCCAAAGATGCCATTCATACAACAAGGACGTGTATTCCACTATTTTCATAGCAGCATTATTTGTAACAATCAGAACCTGGAAGCAACCTAGATGCTCCTCAACTGAAAAGTGGATAGAGAAAATGTGGTAAATTTACACAATGGAGTACTATTCAGCAGAATAAAACAATGGAATCTTGAAATTTGCAAGGAAATGGATGGCACTACAAGAAACCATCCTGAGTGAGGTATCCTGTTGGGGAAGTCCTGTGCATTTGTCAATAAAGACTGGCTGGCCAATAGGAATCTAGATAGGTGGGGCTAGGAGTCCAGGAGGATTCTGGGAAGAAGAAACACAAGAGGGTTCGAAGATGTAACCGCCATTGGGGTAGGAAGCCTGGAACTATTCTCCGGTAAGAGACATACTTAGATTAACAATTATGGGGTAATTACTTAAGTCAGAGCTAGCCAGTTAGAAACAAGCAAGGCCAAGAGCTTCATAATTAATATAGCCTCCTGTGTGTTTATTTGGGACTGATGCCGATCTAGAACCAGGCGGGCGGGAAGGCTCCTCTCAAGGAAAAAGCTTCCCTTAACAGTATCCCAGTCACAAAAGACAACCATGGTATGCACTCACTCATATATGGAAATTAGACATGGATCAGGGGAGTGCCAGCCTACAATCCCACTGCCAGAGAGTCTGGGAAACAGAAACTTCATCCAGTGACGGATGGAAGCAGAGGCAGACACCCACAGCTAAACACTGAACTGAACTCCTGGAATCCAGTGATAGAGAGGGAGGACTGATGAGCAAAGGGGTCAAGACTAGCCTTGGTTTAACCCACAGAAACAGCTGACCTGAACAGGATGAAGCTCTTGGACCCCAGACCGATGGCTGGTAGGCCAGCATGGAACTGATCCAGACCCCCTGAATGTGGATTTCAGTGAGGAGGCCTAGACAATCAATCAGGCCTTGGGTAGTAGATCAGTATCTGGCATAAAATGGACTTTGGGTGTCCATCCCACAATGTGGGATGTTCTCTCAGCCTAGACTCTTGGGGGAGGGCCTAGGCCCTGAATGAAATGAGACTCTGGAGATCCCCCATGGAGGGCCCCACCCTCCCTAGGGAATGGAGTGGGGATTGGGTGGGGGGCTGGGGTGTCCTGGGGGGGGACAGAGGAGCATGGGAGGTAGATGGAGCTGGGATTGACATGTGAAGCAAGGTTGTTTCTAATTTAAATAAAAAATTATGAATTTTTAAGATTATAATATGAGTATAAATACATCATTTCTCCCTCCCCTTTCCTCCTTTTAAGTCCGTTTATAAACCCTTCCTTTCTCTCTTTCAAAAAAAGCTGCTAGTTACATTTTATAATTTGATTGTTGAATAATAATTCTCTGTGACTGAATATTTAAATTATATGTAATATTCAGTAATTAATTAATACCATAATCAACAGATTCACAAATATCTGTATAATGTATAGTCATATTATTTTTACAGTAATGTATCCTATAATGGAATCACTTGGTAGCTGGGGCCTCCCAATACATACTGTTAAGTATTCTGCTGGAGCATAATGAATGTACTCCACACCAGTGTTCTTTCATTTCAGATTCACTCAACTTGAATACCTTGATAAAAGCTTTTCCTTCTCAATAGAAAATGGCATAGTTTTGATCATCATCAATTAGAAAAATCATTGTCTAAAATTCTTTCTACTCCTTTTGTCTTACTTTAAAATGTAGAAAAACTCATCCAAGTAATTTTCCTAGCCTCTAACAACACAGATCATTTGCAAGACTGCAATGTCCTCTGGTTCTCAGAGAATAGAAATGGCCCTTCAAGAAACCACCAGAGGCAAAGACGAAGGGAGGGGCAACAACAGAGATCTAACCCAGCTCTGAGATCTCCAAGAAGCTCTGGTGTGTACTGGATTTACTGAAACTGAACTAGGTAGCCACTGGCACTAGCTTATATTTTGACTCACATCTCTTCCAGACCTGACGTACAAGAATTCAGCTAGGTATGAGGATACTCAGGACCAAGGGGTAATAGGTTCTTCTTTCTAAAATCTCTAGAGGCATCTGCGCTGAGGGTGTCCTATGACTAATGTGAAAGGACTTCAGAGTTAAAGTAATAATAATGGTTCCAGAGTATCTTCCCATACATTCATATCCCTATCAAAGGCCCTATATTCTAAATGAGACACACCAGGATCAGAAAGCAGATCAGGATTTCAGACCTGTACAAGAGTTGGGTGCCCTTTTCTTCTACACATCGTCTTTAGAGAGAAGCAAACTACTGTTTAGTTACCAAGTAGTTACATTGTGGTGGCAGTCACCTCCAAACTAACAGTTGGTTTAGTAGAATCTAGTTAATAGCTTGATCCCTATGCTTCTTCCCACGAGGGTAATGGAATTAGAGACACGGGCCAAACACAACAGATTTGTAACTGCTGGCAACAAACTTGACTTGTTAGCCAGAGCTATGTGAACTAAGTATATGGCAACCCTAAGACCTCTGGTGGTCAATCAAGAAGCAGCAGTCCTAGAGGACCAAGGGAGTGAGGCATGAACAGTGGAAAACAAGAACTCCCCAGGTTCCCTCTGCTCCTCTTCAGCCATCATTTGTGACTGTTCTAGGATTTAGAATGAGGAGCCGACTATGGAGGTGTGGAGATTGTAAGTCCAGCTCCATACCACAGATTTGGCATTAAAAGTAGTGATAGGGAATCCAAGTTTTCAAAGGAAGGACTATATTCACTGGAAGTACAAGTTCACTTTTCACTTCCCCTACTGTTGGTCTCACCCTGACCCTCCAGCCTATCCCCCAGAAGAGTCCACCTTTCCACCTCCCCTACTGTTAGACTCATCCCCCAAAACTCCAGTCATCTTGGTCCCAGCAAAATTTATAAACTCTCTTGCCAACTTGAACAATCCCCAACTTACAGGGGTGTTATTGCACCAAATTCGTTTATGAATCCATGGTTTAGAACTCAGAGTAATCTCTCAAAGGAACAACAACTGATTTAGGAAATACATGTTCTGCCCAAGATATTCAGAACATCCACAACAAAGCTCTTAAAGTTTGATCAATTCAATGACAAAAGATGAAGATGAGAGGTCATGGACTTAAGACAGAGAATCAGAAAAAGGAATGTGATGTTCCTTTTTGGTAGGTGAGGGTAAGATTAGATGAAGAGGTAGATGAGGCTGAAATCTGGCTGCTTTGTCTATCCTCTGCTTCTCTCCCTTCTGAGTGTCTCTCTACTGTCTGGAGGACTCATCAGGTCAGCTAATACTTCTATATTTTGAGCATTTCATCTCCTTAATCATAAACAAGTGAGAGAAGCTGATTCCTGAAGAGGATTCCAATGACCCAACCTCCTTCCCAGAGTCCATTTCAAAAGAGGGTATCTTTTAGAGCAACTGAACCAATAACTAAAGGAATTTCAAGTTTAGGTGGATTAGATAAAATGTCTAAGTTAAGATGATTCTGGAGAGGAAAAGAAGACAGACATCCCTTAAATATGGAATCCTCACCCTTAGCTGCCCATCCTCACCCTTGGCTGCCTACAAGACCCTCCCAGAGTGGCTTCAAAGTTCAGTTTTCTAAGACCTCCCCCCCAAGACAGATGCCTCCAGAATGTATGTATCCAGGTGACTCCAGTGGTGATTTATGTGAATCCACAACTGTAACCAGGTACTTGCACCTCTCAGACATGTTAACTGGTTTTCCACAAGGTTCCTAGTGTCTATGTCTTAACAAGTGGTGATACTAAGTCCCCTATGGGTTGAAGGTAGAGAGCTTGGTCAGATCTCTCTGTGAACTTGAAGAGTTCCTGATACCCTGGATACACTCCATCCTTCTCTCTTATCTGATCTAGGGTTCAATGAAAACTGGTAGACTTTATTCCAGGCTCCTCAGAGCTTGAGCAGCTGCCCCAAACCACAGAGCACAAACATCTTCAGGTCTTTTCACTTCCCCCACAAGCCCTATGTATTTCCAAAAGGTTCTGTACTGTCCATCTCCTAGCAGTGAGCTCTACCCTAAGAAGTGAATGCACTAGGTGAGGTCACTCAGATAATTAACTATGTGCTATGATGTATCGCTTCCCAGTTCCCATGGTGACCATCTCAGTTTATGCTCATTGGCCATCACCCCATACCTAAGTGCTGGGGCAATGAGGGAAAGGAACCTTATGTGATCAAGCATATATACCTAAGGGCCTCAGTTTCCTTCTAACAGGACTAAGTCACTAACCATGGAAACTAGTTACAGTCCTCAATACCTGGACTAAGGCAATGACTATCACATACAATCATAAATGGTGCCTTCAACTCAGAAAACTTGGTCCATGAAAACAGAACATTTTATAGGTAGCAATTTTAGCACTTCATGTGATATTATGGGTTGTTATTAGATGTCTACTTTCTTAAACATATAAAATGTCCCAGATTTTCAGTCAGGCTATTGATATCCAGGTCCTAATATAAAAGTTCTTTGAGACCTCTGGCAGACCTGGTTGCTGTCACTGTGCTGATGGGGACAGGAGAGTACGGGGAAAAATAGATCTTCCGTTCTTTAAATGAGGAAAGTAAGCCCCCCCCAATGCAACCCAAAGATTTCCTCCCTTTTCCCTTTTAAGATCAGGATCTGAGGCCAAATGTAGCAGGATACTACTGCCTAAATCCCCCAAGCTCCTGAGAAGATCATGGCTAGACCATCCCACTCTTAGCAGAGCCTAAGTCCCCATCTGGGTATTGGAGGGAGGAGGTCTCATTTCATTTAAAAGTCAAAACACTATTGGTTCTGTGCTGGGATGGCTTCAGTCAAAATTAAAAGGGCAAAACTGTACATACATACACATGAAACAATGAACATATTTCAGGACATCAATATTTAAAGTAAGGCAAAATGCTAGTTTCTTTATGTAAATGGAAACATGCACAACTACCACAGTCACTTAAAGAAAATTCTTAAGTGTCAATGACCCACAGGTTTTCACTCTTCCAGGTCCTATAGACAGCTTTCTGGTGAAGTAAAGATATCCACCCTGGGGACTGGAGAGAAAGTTCAGGTTAAAAGCACTGCTTGCTCTTCCAGAGGAGTCAGGGTTCAATGGCCAGCATCCACATGGCAGTTCACAACATTCCAGTCCCAGGGGGTCTGATTCCCTATTCTGGCCTCCAAGAATACTGTATTCACATGGTGCACACACATCTATACAGGCAAAATACCCATACACATAAAACAAGAGTAACTTAAAAAATTACCTAGCCAGGCACAGTGACATGCTTTTAATCCCAGAACTTGGGAGGCACAGCAAGGAAGATCTCCATGAGTTTGGGGCCAGCCTTGTCTGGGGTCTAACCTATAGACAAGGTTAGAGAGACCCTGTCTCAACAATACCACCAAAACAAACAAACAAGCCCCCAAACCCCAAGCCAAATAAACCAAAAAGAAGTCTGCACACCCACCATTTGATGGTATACTTGAGGTTTGGTTGACTGACTGTGCTGTCGTCTAGGAAGATGGTAGAGCAGGAGCTGTACTTCCTTGATGTCTGGCCTGGAGGATGCTAGAAAACAAGATGACAATAATTACATAAGGCTTAAAATTCTGCCAAGTAGCATGTACCAGCTAGTTTTTGTCAACTTGACACAAGCTGGTGTCTTTGAGAGAGGGGACACAGTTGAGGAAGCACCTTTACCAGACTGGTTGGTGGGAATCTGTGGGGCGTTTTCTTCATGGATGATCTATGTGGGAGGGCACAGGAAAGTGTGGGCAGTGCTGCCCTGGCGCTGGTATCCTGGGTGCTATAACAAAGCAAGCCATGCAAGCATTGAGGAGTAAGTCTGTAAGCAGTGTTTCTCAATGGCCTCTGATTCCTGCCCTGAATTCACTAGGAGATGGACTATATGACTGGGGCATTTAATCTGAAACTAACCCTTTCCTCTCCAAATTGATTTTGGTCATGGTATTTTTACCACAGCAGCAGAAACCATAACTAAGGAACGACAATGCCCCTTTCTCTGAGATCTGAGCACAAAGGAAACATGTCTTAGCAAGAGCTCCACCACAATTACTAACAGGGCAGAAATACTAGGCCACACTGGGATTTGTCTTGTTCTTCTACACTAAGTCACTACCACTCCTAGTTCCCTAGTTCCTAGGGACCACAGAAAACCTGCTGCTCGCAGTGGACATTTGGTGAATACATACAGGGAAGGTGGTTTCTTAGTTATATGCAGTAAGATCAAGTTGAGCATCCACTGTACCCATTTTTCTAGGTGCAAAGTTGACTTTAGAGTCAAAAATATTTCATCCCAGATCGATAGAAAGCCTCTTGCCTAATAAGCTTAGATTCACATGAATTTCTAAGTGGAAATAAATGTTCTTCTGTTAGGGACACATTGTATTCTGAAGTGGAAGAGTGGGCTTTTGCACAGATGACCGTCAGGCAACAGGTGCTCTTATGCCTGTGGTTTCTTAGTGACTGCAGAAGTTCAAGTTCTGGGGAGAACTTTAGCAAGAAGACAGCTTCTGATTGGCAACATGAACTTTATAGCCATTACTGCTAACTGAATGCTAGGAGATATTTGTCAAATGTTTGGGAAATAGTTAGAAAGACTTCCATCTGGATAATTCCAGAGAGGGGGGCTGGTGAGGAGAAGAAAGAGAAGCGGGAGGAAGAGAGAAGGAGGAGGAGGAAAAGAATCAAGCCGTGCAAACAAAGTTCCTTTTGCCTGACACTTATTTTTAGAGGCAGGTGTCATTGTCAGCAATGAAACCAAATCCCTTATAAATCACAGAATCACCTGCCTGACCTGTCTACTTTTAACAAAACCCCCAGGATAGACTACCTGAACAGATGTCTACTCAGTATGTTCACATCTGCTTCCTATCTGTAGGTTTTCTCAGCAGTGAAACTATAAAAATCTTCAGCAACCAGAGAACTACATAACGATGCTAAAACCACAACTTTCTCTTGGCAATACTGCTTAGTATCTACTGTGTCTGCTTCTTTAACATAGCACTAGGGAGCACCTCTAGCAGCAGTGCCATAGAGTACTTTGTTAGCAGCAGACAGGTCAGAAGCACCAGCCTCAGACCATGAGACATGTTCTCGGGCTTCCAGCTCAAGCTCACTATTAGGTGCTTGTGCGTGGAAAGGGCATTAAAAAAGCTTGCCAAGTTCAGGTTAGGATTTCAACATAAGTTTATCATGGCATTTCAGGTCAGTCAAATAATCAACATTCTCTTAAGGTATTTGGGGATGCTATTAAAAGCTATTCTCTTGTAGCAATTACTGAAATAATATATTAAGAAATGAAGTAAAGTTGCAGTTATGGTATTTTCATACCGCAGGAACAAAATCTACTGCTCCCACTGCATCAACGGATTCTGATATAAAAATTCAGCATTCAGCTATCATGCTAATAAATATTTTAGAGACGTTATGTTAGTAATTCAAACAAGGCAAAAAGACAAAGCGGCATTTTACTTCTAGATCCTTCCTCTCAGATGAATTCCTGAAGACACAAGTATGACGCAAGCTGCCAAGAACTGAGGCTATGGGGCAGTGCTCCACTGCAGCAAGGAATACAACCTTGCTGAACCTCCCTTCATCTAGCACTGAGTCAGTGGGCAATAACACATACTTGGTTTGCAGACTGAGGGCTCAAAGGTCGGTTTAGTCTCTCACCAAGGTATCAGTCCTGGCCTGGGCCCAGATTTTAGTCATTACATCCCAGAACTTATAGCTAACATTCCTTCTAAGGCTACAATTCCACTCCCAAACCAATAATTTCTATAATTAATTCCCCTACCCCCAAATTTCCGCTTCAGGGTATTTCATCACTTTAAGTGCTATCGGCATCAAGCCACTGGTTGAAATTCTCAAAGTGTAAGCTGTCTCTGACCTAAAACCTCATGCCACTAACATGCTAAAAGGAGAAACCTACCAGGAGAGCGTGTGCCAGGGATGCTGCCTTGTTTGGGTGTGGGAACACCAGACCTTGAGCAGAGACCCACTTCCCCTTCTGCCTGGGAGTAGGCAGCTGTAAGACAATGTTTACTAAAAACATGTTTACTAAAAACAATACAATGCCTGGGGGCATTAAGTTCCTGGAAAAGGCCTGCCCGCAGAAACCACCCTGAGCTCGACCTTGTCCAGAGACTAACCGCCTCTTCTGCCACGCCCAGATCAGTTTCTGGGGTCAGGGCAGAACCAGCCAGGGTAGAGGAGAGAGCAGAAGCTTCTCTGGTGGGAGCCTTTCTTAGGAAGTTTTCTTGAACCTTTTTGGAGCCTGCTTAAAGTTTTCTTTACATCGTTGAAAGAGTCTCTGTGTTGTCAATCCCCGACACCCTCCGCACGTTCTCGGACACAGGCCGCGCAGCAGACGCGACATTTGGGCTTGTATGTTGAGCTGTTCTAAGAGCACAGCAGGAGGATGGGAATACCATGCACCAACATCAGACCACAGTGCCACAACACAGCCAGCTTTAACTTCCCAATGCCTCTGATGGCGCCAAAGCACTAGTTGTGTTTCCAAAAGGCAGTTACAGTACACTCACTCAAGCTTCATCAACATTTTAGATGCTATTCAGTACACTAGACAGTTCTCAGCTTCAGTCAAATGTTATATTTAATTACTGTCCTATGATTCTGAATATAAAATAAACAGTATGCTTATTATACATATGTGACATACACTCTCCCTACAAGTTCCAATCTGCTGGTAAAAAGATGACAGGAAGAGGCATAGGAGACACTAGTTACAAACCACAACAATGGCCAGCACAGCAAGACATATCCAAGGGTGCAGTAGTGGCATTTCTAGCTCAAGGGTAACCAACAGCCACCTAATTAGATCTGAGGCCCATTCAAAAGGAGGAAATTCATGCCTGGTACTGTAACTTAACCAAACACTAATGGTTGGTGAGGCCAAGAACCCTAGAGGAGAACCCACTAGTAATAACTTCCTAAACCAGTATAACTCCCAACTCCAGTATATTTATCCTTATATCTACATTGATAAGTGTAACTGTTGTTGATCATCAAAGAAACTTCTTTTTGCAGCAGATGAGGACCATCACAGAAATTCACACCTAGTCAAACTACAGAGAAGTACTAAATGTGGGGTGCCCATCACTAGCTGATACATCTGCAGCACAGGAAACAACATGGAAGATGTTCTGGGCAGAGAAGTCATAAAAGTCAGAAGACCAGAATGTCTGCTGAGAAACTGTTTTCTATATATGACAGAGTTGCACCCATGAAATCTTAACAATATGGCTACCTAAATAAGACTTGCACAATGACATAACTAGCTGATATGCCAAGGCAGAGGGGGATATATCTCACAAGGTCCCACTACTAGATGAAGAGCTACAGGCAACTAATGGCTGCACAGTGAGGGAGAGTCAGTCTTTTCCAGGGATGAGTTCCGTGATAGGTTATCCAATCCCAAGTGGACAGGGATGCTGCCTTGTTTGGGTTTGTGTACTGAGATGTTCCTCTAAGAACACAGCAGGAGGGTGAGATATATGAGCACATGAGCAATTTTTGTCTCAGTGTTGTACCTAAGACCTGATGGAACATACTGAAAAACAAACTAGGGATTGTGGACAACTGGATACCTTTTATCTTGTTCCTGACTCTAGTGGATATACTTTGTTTTTCCCTATTTAGCATGATGTTAGGCATAGAACTGCACATAAGACTGACTTTTTAAAATTATTATTATACTTAGATGTTTCTCTATTCCTTGTCTCTTAGGGCTTTTTTTTTGAGGAGAATGTTAGATTTTGTAAAGCAAACAAACAAGGAGCCCTTCTGTATCTACTGATATGATCATGTATTGCCTCTTGAGCCTATTTATGTGATGCATTAATTTATTGATTTGTGTATGTTTGAAGCATTCCTGAGTCTCTAGAATGAAGCCAACATGATCATGGTGATATATATATATATATGTATATATATATATATTTTTTTTTTTTGCTGTGTCATTATCTGTGGTAAGGTAATATTTATTGGGTTTGAAAAGACAGCTTGGTAGCACTCCTTCCTTTTTTATAACTTTTCTCTCAATTTGAAACTACCTCTAAATAACTCAATTCCTTCATCTTAGTGTATTTCACTGAACCTTCTTTAGCATCCTAGCTGTTGGATACATTTCTCTACCAATGAGAGCAAATCTCTTAGAAGTAAATTTGAGAATTTTAAAAACATCAGATTCCAGGCTGTGGAACTGGATATAGATATAGAATTGCTGTGAAATAATCTTTGTACACTGTAAATAAGTATTACTCTCATTTGTTAATAAACATCTGATAGGCCTCTATCTGGGCAGGAAGTGACTGGGTGAGAGAGCCAGACTAGGAAAATGCTGGAGTTAGAGTCCCCAGCCAGACATGGAGAGGAAACAGGAGATGCAAGAGAAAGACAGGTTAAGTCACATGGCAGAATCTAGATTGATATAAATGGGTTAATTTAAGTTGTAAAAGCTAGTTAATAATAAGCCTGAGCATTTATAACTAATATTACGTTTCTGTGCACTTACTGGGGAGCTGGTGGTCCCAATGACCAGCTGACACAGAATGAAACTAGCAAAGATCCTATTTTATAAGAAATTCTTTTTCGATTACTCAGTACAGTCCATGAGAAGCAATCAGTTTAGAACTAAACTACATAAAAGGAACAAAAACTACTAAAGTCAGTGTTCCTAAAATGAGATGAGCATAATATATGACCACTTAGGAAACTGGGCCTTAATAAGTATATAACAAAATACCCTAAATTATACCCAAATACTAGAAAAACATCATCAGCTATTAATATAGAACCTGGAAAAATACACATTTACCTAGCCTCTCGTGAGCCATACTAAACTGTAGACATGTGCTGTTATCAGTTTGCAGTCACCTTCCTTTCACTGCTTCCCACTGAGTCAATCAGGACAGCCATCATGACTCATTTGAGAGGACAAAGACTAGTACTTAAAACACTTTTCAAGACTGCCAAAACTAGGGCTTCAATGTTCTTTTGGCTCTGGGTCCAAATAGTTAAGAAGACTCTTGCTTAACTGACACATGATTTCAACTTACATTATTATAAGTTTTCAGAACAATCACCTATCTTAATGTTAAGGCACATCCTCTGAAGTTTTTGCAAGAAAATGACACTATAAAATATCTTCTATTTAAATTCCTGGTTTTAAAACACATTTGCAGTGCACACCTTTAATCACAGCATTTAGGAGGCAAAGGCAGGTGGATCGCTGTGCATTGGAGGCCAGCCTGGTCTACAGAGTGAGTTCTAGGACAGGCTCCAAAGCTACACAGAGAAACTCTGTCTCAAAAAACCAAAAAAAAAAAAAAAAAAAAAAAAAAACAAGAACAAAAAAATCAAACCAAATATTTGCAATAAAAAGGACATGAGAAAGGAGAAAGGCTGGTCATTCTACTCCTGACCTGTCTTGGAATGACATCTGTCTAAGAATAATTAATTCACAATACATATGCTGTTGCTAGGAGACAGGGGGATGTCAGAAAAATGAGGCATCCACAAATGTTATGAGTTTTCTTGTATTTTGGGAAGATTCCCAACTGCAATTATCTCTCTCTCCATGAGACCTCTCATTTTGTTGCCTCTTGTAGATTTCCTTTGTTTTGGGTATGTTAAGGTTTGTTGACAAGGAACCCGACATAAAGTTTTACAAGTGAAACGACAGTGTGGGGGACTAAGTTTTAGTTTTCCCTACAAGGGATACAAAATTATGAAACTCAATCTTCAACATAAAGGCCTTGCAGTTCTGATACACAGTTCTTTAACAAAATTTAATCTAGCCTTAATGAATTAAAAGAAAAATTGCTTGTCTTTCTACCTCAGCTTTCTCTTATGCCCTTTTCATGTTGTCTGGGATGTAATTCATGCCATCAATACCATTTCTGATATGTAAAACTGGCTGTCTTATAACTACCTTATAGACTTCAACTGTAAATAAACTATTGTGTCTGATAAAAGAAAAAACAAACAACAAGAAAACCAATCTAGAGGGCCAAGGGAAGGGCTGATGAAATGGCTAACATGTCCTCACATAATAACACAAACAAATTTTTTTAAATTATTAAATAAAAAAAAAACCCTGACAGGAACTAGGAAGTGATATGTGTATACAATGGATGCCACTACGCAGATGAATCACCCTATGGGTTTAGCATGTGTCTTCTGATGGCCCTAAGAGTCTGAAGTATACAGCTTTATCCTTAAGCACGTCAGAATCTACAAGATCTGAAATGCTGAATAACAATCCTGAGCCAGCCTCCGTCGGGTCAGATTCATCACTGCGGTTTTCAGTGAGAGTGTAGAGCATACTTACTCTGGCAGTTCACATAACTCTATCATTCCTTACCTTGTAGTAGCAGTTTGCTATCTTAAAGAACAAGACACATGTTTAAACAAGAGGTGTGGTTATACCTGGTCTGTTACAGAGTTTGCCAAGCAGTGGTGGGGAAGAGACTGGAGAAGGTAGGTGTACCTGTTACTACCCTGTGCAGCCACCATGGAGAGATATACTGCTCAGAACGGCCAAGGAACTAGAGGGAAAGTTTGAAAATGCTTTTAAAATTAAAAGGCCAAGTTTAGTCTCTCCACACATAGAAACTGGTTTTGAGCACACACACACACAAATGTGTGGCCCTGTACCACAAACAACAACTGTGTAGAAGAGAGAGGAAGCAGACAGCTACTCTTGAAAAAAAAATTATGTATTTATTTGAAGGGAACTGCACTACACAAATAAAAAAAATAAACAAAGCCCAAAACCAGGAATTTGGTGTGAGCAGAAATGAACGGTTCAAAATTAAAAGCCTTTGCTTTGTTTGAGCCTGTGTAATGTGGTGGTGGCACTGTGGTCTTGTCCACAGGCATACTTCCTTCCACAGCAGCCTTATGGAATCTGGAGACAAGGCACTGGAAGTGACTCCCGAGTAATGCCTGGCAATCAGCTTTCTATCACCCCATCAAGTCTTCTAAATGCCATACAACACATAGGGTGTCTTCACCTACCAAAGTCTATACTGTACGATCGTGAGGAAAAACATGGGAAAGCAGTTTCACTTACATGGTTAATGAAGAGACTCTTGCGTTTTTCTCTCACTGTGAAAACAAAAGATGGGACAAAAATGTTACATGCTTGCATGTCAACCCCTGAAGGATGCTGAGGAACGAGTCTCTTTACCATGGTCCTATTGTTCTATCAACCAATGTCCTCAGTTACTCATTTATCAATTTTAAGTGTAAAGAAGCTACAAAAATGCAGATATAAACTTGACTGACTGAGGTTAATACACAGGTACTTTAACAATAACATAATACATGTAGCTGAAGTCAATGGAAGAGTAAGAGATTTCATTACCTGAATGAAGTATTAGTAAACCTCATGAAAATTATATATGTATATCTCCAGTAGTTTAAGGTAATTATAAGAGAACTACTTACTTCTAACCCAAATGTATTTTTTTTTTTTTTTGGTTTTTTCGAGACAGGGTTTCTCTGTATTGTTTCGGAGGCTGTCGGTCCAGCCCGGCCTCGAACTCACAGAGATCCGCCTGCCTCTGCCTCCCGAGTGCTGGGATTAAAGGCGTGCGCCACCAATGCCCGGCCCCCAAATGTATTTTTAATGGATCCACATCATATGATGAATTATTAGTAAACACAATGATATCCCTAACAGGAGACCAAGTGACGGGGAACAAAAGTGTTCTACAGTGAAGGATACTTGCTTCCTGTGGAGGTACTGGGCACAGGCCGGAGCTTATTTAGAAGGCTCCAAGGAGCATTTGCAGGTGAGCCTCCCCACAGTAAATGGTGTTGCGTCCAGCCTTGGTGTCTGTACATTCTTGCCTGCACTGTACGGCTTTAACCTCAGCTTTTGTCACAACAGGCACCCTTCTTCAGCCTTAGAAAACAGAAGACTGCCAGAATACACAGAGAAACGTGTGATAAACTGTCACCAAATCTTGTGTTATTTCTAAAGACTAGTTCTTCTGGGCACACATTAGTCCATCAACTCACCAAGTAGTTCCTTGTAGAGGATATGAAGGACAGATTTCTGCAAGGAGAATGCACTAACTCAAGGTAGTGCAAATTCAGCTTGTCCTCTGAGAGAGCATTTCTCCTGTAGTCGGTACCCCAAAGCTCCCCAGCTAGTAACCTGGAGAGCCTTGAAGTTTTCCACCCTTCACTTACAGCTCCAGATACACAAGGAAACACTTGTTTTCCCCTAGAAATCTATGTTTGGTGCCTCACATGTAGCTGAGTAAGAACCTTGGCCTAGCAAGCAGAGTTCATTCTTGCATACTTGTGAACTAAAATTTTAAAGAAAGAAACTGAAGAGAACAGAAGACAGAAAGACCTCCCATGCTCATGGATTGACAGTGATCAATATTATGAAAATGTCATCCCCACTAAAAGCAGTTTACATATCCAATATAATCCCCACCAAAACTCCAATGAAAAGTCAGGCATGGTGGCACATGCCTTTGATTAGTGTACCCCAGAGTTAGTGGCAGGTATTATCTCTTGAGTTAGAGGCTAGCCAGAGCTATATTGTGAAAACTTGCCTCAAACCCAATGCAATTATTTAATTCACATAAATCAAAAAAGGAACCTTAAAATGAATATGGAAACACAAAAGACTCAAAATATCCAAAAGGACCCTGAACTATGAAAACACTGCTAGAGGCATCACCATCCTAGATTTCAAGTTGTACCACAGAACTATAGTAATAAAACCAGCATAGTACTGGCATCAAAACAGACACAACAATCAATAGGCTACTAGAACTTGGATACCCATATAGAAGCCCATACTTATATAGCCACCTGATTTTTGATAATCAGGTCAAAAGTAGACATTGAAGAAAAGCAGCATCTTCAACAAATGGTGCTGGGTGAACTGTTTAGAAATATGTAGAATGAAATTAAATCCTTATCTCACACCTTGCACAGAACTCAACTTCAAACAGATCAAGGACCTGAACACAAGACGCAATACCCCAAATCTATGAAGAGAAAATAGGGGATACACTTCATCTTACAGGACTAGAAATAGGCACTCTAACCGTATTCTGGTAATACAGGCTTCAGGACCAACAATTGATAAATGGGATCTTGTGAGGCTAAAAACCTCCTGTACCACAAAGTACACTATAATGCAAGGCGAAATGCAGCCTACAGAATGGGAAAAAGGTATCAGCTATACATCTGACAGCGGATTAATTTCTAGAATATGCAAAGAACTCAAAAACCTGAAAGGAGAGGAGGCTGGGAGTCCAGGGAAGTGGCGGTTCTTCCAGCAGCATCAGGTAAACAGGCCGGCTTCCCGGCCTGTGCTCCAGTGCCTGCAGATCGCCTGGGACCTGCACAGAGCTCCCAATCCCGGTGGGAGCCAAGCACCCCAGACTCCGGATCTTCGCTCACACCAACGAGACCAGGAAAGGAGAGGAGGCTGGGAGTCCAGGGAAGCTGCGGTTCTTCCAGCAGCATCAGGTAAACAGGCCGGCTTCCCGGCCTGTGCTCCAGTGCCTGCAGATCGCCTGGGACCTGCACAGAGCTCCCAGTCCCGGCGGGAGCCAAGCACCCCAGACTCCAGATCTTCGCTCACACCAACGAGACCAGGAAAGGAGAGGAGGCTGGGAGTACAGGGAAGCGGCTGTTCTTCCAGCAGCAGCAGGTAAACAGGCCGGCTTCCCGGCCTGAGCTCCAGTGCCTGCAGATCGCCTGGGACCTGCACAGAGCTCCCAATCCCGGCGGGAGCCAAGCACCCAGACCCCAGGTTTTCTCTCCCACCAACGAGACTAGGAAACCAGAGGACCCAGGGAGACCAGGGGAGTAGCTGTTCTGGATCAAGTACAACAGGACCCAGCATAGGGTCCAGGGGACCAGGTAAGAGGATAAGCACCCCAGATTCCTGTTCTTCTTCTCCACCCACGGGACCAGCATTCGGACAAGGAACAGAAGAACCACCAGATTATTGGACTTGCTAGCACCCACCAAAAGGGAACTCTGGTCCCCAGACCAGTAAGGGGCTTTTTCTGCACCCACTAGAAGAAGAGATGGGAAAGAGACAATACAAAAACACAGTCAGCAACAGAAAAACAAATATGACACCGCCAGATTCTAGAGACTCCACACCAGCAAGACCCCAACATTCCAATGTGGACGAAGCAGAAGAGAACGACCTTGAAAGCACTTTCATAAAAATGATAGAGGCCCTAAAAGAGGATATTGGAAAATCCCTCAAAGAAATGGAAGAAAAAACAAACCAAAAAATGCAAGAATTGGAAGAAAAAACAAACCAAAAAAGGCATGAAATGGAAGAAGAAATAAAGCAAAAAATGCAAGAAATGGAAGAAAAAACAAAGCAAAAAATGCAAGAATTGGAAGAAGAATCATACCAAAAAAGGCAGGAAATGGAAGAAGAAACAAAGCAAAAAATGCAAGAAATGGTAGAAAAAACAAACCAAAAAATGAAAAAAATGGAAGAAGAAACAAACCAAAAAAGGCAGGAAATGGAAGAAGAAACAAAGCACAAAATGTGAGAAATGGAACAAAAAACAAACCAAAAAATGCAAGAAATGGAAGAAAGAACAAACCAAAAAATTCATAAACGGCAACAAACGAACAGATAAACAGAAAATTGCAAGAAGCAATGCAAACACTGCAAGGGTTGAAAACTGAAATAGAGTCATTAAAAAAAACACATTCTGAAGAAAGGCAGAAAATAGAAAAGCTGGACAAACAGACAGGCACAACCAATACAAGCATTACCAACAGAATAGAAGAGATGGAAGAGAGAATCTCAAGTGTTGAAGATACGCTAGGAGAAATGGATTTATCAACCAAAAAAACCTTAAATCCAACAAATCCTTAACACAAAACATCCAGGAAATATGGGACACCATGAAAAGACCAAACCTAAGAATAATAGGTATAGAAGAAGGAGAAGAAATCCAGCTCAAAGGGGCAGAAGGCATATTCAACAAAATCATAGAAGAAAACTTTCCCAACCTTAAGAAAGACATGCCAATGAAGGTACAAGAAGCCTACAGAACACCAAATAGAGTGGACCACAAAAAAACATCCCCTCGCCACATAATAATCAAGACCCCAAACATACAGAATAAAGAAAGAATATTAAGAGCAGCTAAGGTAAAAGGTCAAGTAACATATAAAGGCAGACCTATCAGAATTACACCTGATTTCTCCATGGAAACGCTGAAAGCCAGAAGGTCCTGGATAGATATTCTACCTACACTAAGAGACCACGGATGCCAGCCCAGACTACTATACCCGGCAAAGCTCTCAATCACTATAGACGGAGAAAACAAGATATTCCATGACAAAACTAGATTCAAGCAATATGTGTCCACTAACCCAGCCCTACAGAAAATTTTGGAAGGAAAACTCCAACCCAAGGAAGCTAACTACAACCAGAAAAACATAAGCATTAGAGAATCTCTCTCTACCAACAGCCAAAAGAACAAAGGGGTGAAATTCCACACATAATTCCACCAACAACAACCATCGCAAATCGAAGAAGGATGAGCAATCATTGGTCATTAATATCCCTCAATATTAATGGCCTTAACTCACCCATAAAAAGACACAGACTAGCAGATTGGATTCGAAGACAGAACCCTTCCTTCTGCTGCATACAGGAAACACACCTCACCCTTAAAGACAGACATTACCTGAGAATTAAAGGTTGGGAAAAAATTTTTCAATCGAATTGACCCAAGAAACAAGCCGGGGCAGCAATCCTAATATCTAACAAACTAGACTTTAAAATAAAATCAATCAAAAGAGATGAAGGAGGTCATTACATACTCATCACAGGTGAAACCCACCAAGATGAAGTGTCTATTTTGAACATCTATGCCCCAAATACAAAGGCATCCACATTCGTTAAAAAAACATTATTAGAACTTAAATATCATCTAAAGCCCCACACAGTTATAGTGGGAGATTTCAACACACCACTCTCACCACTAGACAGGAATACCAAACAGAAACTCAACAAAGAAGCAAAAGGGCTAATAGAAGCAATGACCCAACTGGGATTAACAGATATCTATAGAACATTTCATCCACAT